GCATTGTAAAATTTGGATCGGATTAGTTATAATAAGAGTGAACGACCGTATAACCATGCCAGTGACAAATTTCCTTGATCAATTGCGTAAAAGCCACGACATTTTTAAAGCTCCGTAATTGAATGCGCTCGATCGGGAATAGCATTTGGGTAACAAACAATTGCTTCCAAATCATACATACCGCCCGAGCAGGCGGAATTGTCACGAGCCGTCGTATAAATATTCTGATAATAGACATCCTTGTCAGAGCTCTGCTTAGGTGGAAATCGCATGCTGCAGGGCGCCAATAGTCTCTCGATGCTGAAAGCCGAGACTTTCGAGGACACGTCGCCGGGACGTAGGACACTCTTGGTTGATTCGTCGTCGGCTTCCTTCTCGTTGCGCTCCGACATTTTCGATTCCAACCACTATAAGTACTACTACTTGCGCCGATGCAATATCACTCGACGGCTGGTCAAAGTGTCACCGAGTCACGCGCAACGAGCTGGCTTATCCCGCGGAGACGCAAACTTCAACTGCAACTCTTTACGAGAACATGAAAACCTGAGAGCTATTAGCATCCCTTGTTCGTTGGATTTTATTAGATTTCGAGATGCGTTCGCCACTGTCTCCACCACTCGAATATCGCTCTTCGAGAGAGATGGAGATGGAGATGGAGATGGAGATGGAGATGGAGATGGAGATGGAGATGGAGATGGTTTAAAAATAAAAGATTAATACTAGAAAAAAATTCAATTACGTATCATTGTTGTAAAGAGAGAGAGAGAGAGAGAGAGAGAGAGAGAGAGAGAGAGATAGTGAGGCGACGTTGGGGTGGTGGTGGTGACGGCGGCGGCGGTGTCGGTGCCGGTGGAGTACGGGAGGGGTGCTCGAGGGTGGGTGAGAGGGAGGGAGGAGAGCGCGAGAGCGCGGCTAGAGGTAGGTAGTAAGTGAAAATGTCGAGGCGGATCCGCGAAGAAGCCACGTGCTCGAGACGTCACGAGACCCTCGGCCAATCGACCAAGATTTTGGGCGGTACTTGGCAAACGAGTCCACGTGTGCGCCGCCGCTGGCTGAAGCTCATAATGATCTCGTATGGGGCTGCTTGTTTAACGAAGCCACTGCACTGTGCGGCCGATCTTTCTAAACGCCCGATAACGAGCGTCCCATAAATTCCTGTCTAACTCGTGGTTGAGCGATTAACGAGCGTTTACGACGCGAGAGCACTACCTCCGAGAATACAGCCTGTTCAGGAAAAGCTGGGTGCGCTGTTCTTGGCCATCCGATTTTACGTGAATCGGGCCGTCGGAGAATTCATCGAGCGCTTTACAAGTTCTTTGTGAGCTGCACTATCGGTTAAACAATTCATTGACAATTATAGTTGTCATTTGAAAGTATCGATAATTTTTGTAAGCTAGTTTTGCTTCGTTCTGCATTTTCTATGACAAGCAGCTGCAAATGATTTCGCCTTAATTATTAATAATAAGCAACTTATTTATTCCAAAATGTTTAATGATTTTTTTATTAAGGGCGAAGAGTTCGGTTTAATTTAATCGATATTCACGTATAAAAACATATCGAGCGGTTAAAAATATTTGTTACGGTGCGTTAAAAATGCAATAACAAACAATTCTATTGGCTTAAAAGCAACTTGTTCTGTCTTGTCTTTTTAATAATATGTAATCTTGAAGAAAGTAGATTAATTTAAAATCTTAAAAGTTATGTTTGTTTCTGTTTTTGATCAGTATCATTGAAATAAATAAAAATATATGTCTGTGTTTCTCCGTAATGATTAAAATAATGTGTTAAAAAAGATTATTAAAAATAATTTTTTTGATTATTACAATAGTATGAAACAAATTAACTAGGTTTATGGAAATATCGTAACTGTATGAAAAAGCAAAACTTTAATATGATTAAATTGATGTTGAATGGAAAAATCAATCTTTAGCAGTTATTGTGTAAACCTTTCAATTACTGCGATAGAATACGATAATAATCAAAACAGCTTTGATACATTGATTTTCAATTTCATATTCCATACATAACATACAAACATTCAAACGAAATCAATAAAGTTATAAAGTTACGTATATATATGGTATTTGAAGATTGATTGATAATTTAAAGGATCAATTTCATTTTAACTATAATATATTTTCTGTTTGAATTACTAACATCAATACTCTATCATTATAATCTGACATCTTTGAAGTATATTAAACATGAATTACGTAGATTATTATGTAGAGAAATTATTGTAAATTTTATTGATATAAGTACGCATTATAAGTGAACTATTGAAACATTTCAATGGATAAAAGATGAGATATACATTTATAAGTATATGCATATATGTTTTTAGATAATTAATTTTTTCATATGGTTTTGTACAATTAAATAACAAAACTTGAATAATAATAATAATAATAATAATAATAATATGAACGATAAAATTTGTTTAAATATTATCACTATTAATAAAATAATTACTATTCTTTATATAAGCCGTATATATGAATTATAAAAAATTTGTAATAAGCTTCACCATGTATTAAGAGACAAGGCATCAATATTAAAACAAATATATCAGATAAATAGATTAAAATATAATATAATATTTCTTTACATATATTGTATAATTACTTTTAATTGATTTTAGTTTCTCGTAAATAAATAATATTAATATCAATAGAGATTCAATCGCGTTAACTACTGCGCGATACCCCGAATATAATATTTTCTGTTTAATTAACATTAGGAGTACCTTTTTTTTAAATATCGATAAACGAGATATAATAAAATCCATTTCACTTGTGCTTACTAGCAATATTAAAACAGATACTAATTACAATTATTAATAGTAAATTTTGAACAAGATTATTAGTATGGAAAGGGTAAAAACACGATCATTCTTAATTAGCAAATGTTTCTTCGTATTATTGCGAATAAGCAATAGCTATTTTTAAGATCTTCGAATCAATCGACAATCCTTATTATTAATCGTATTGTGCACTTGACATTTCCATAAGAATATAATTTAGCAGTGAAGTATAGTGTCGATAAAAATTGGGAATTTTTTTTTTTTTTTTTACAGGATAATCACTTGTATGATTACGTCGGCTGTTGTTACCTCACTCGTACTATGTATTCAATTAATGAGTCTTTGAATTAGAAAATAGTCTTGGAAACGAATGGATGAGAGTTTCGATCTTCATATCGATTATATTTACATAGAGAATATGAAAAATGTTGACGACAGGTTATACGCGAGACTTCCGTCTCATCTTCTCGTGGCTCACGGTTACTTTTCTAAGCTTTTAGGCGGTAAATCATCATCAAAAGGTAGTCGATGAACATTGATCGATTTTTCCTATGTTCGTGCATCCTTTTTGCACTTGTTCTTGATATTGCAATTGCCAATTCTAATGGTTAGCAAAAGTATTGTTTGTATGTTATTTGCTTGGCTAGCAATCGAGACTTGGAATATATGAAGTCCGAGGATACGAGGATGATCAATTGCCAGAAATTTAGTCAACGCATTTTTCTCGGATATTAGCCATACCGATAATTGTATATTTTCGAATTCATCGTCGAAATTTACGCGAGCCATTGCAGTTTCTACTTTGACGTTATCATCGATTATAGCAAGATACTTATAACGTTATAGCAATGCTCAATCATTATTTCATTTCTTATGTGTTTTTATTTTTTATTTTTTCATTTAATTAAATTTGCTTTTAATATAGCTAATAAAAATGTATGCACTCAACTTGCACAATGCATAATTCATCTGCATATAATGTAAGCCATTTGTCAATTAAGTAAGATTTATTTTAATATATTGGCAAGCGCATTTGAAGCATTTTACGTTGATTTACAACATTCGAAAAAGTACGCAATATAGTGTATTTGATTGTTAAGAATTTACTCATTGAATTAATATATTTGTGGCTCGAGATTAAAGCTTAAGTGTATGTAATTTAGATGTGCTGCAAATGAGGCACGAAACAGCAATGACAGTTTGAAATTTAGGAAAGTGATAATTAAGAACTTGCTTCACAGGAAGAAGATATAAATAGAAATTTAATGTCACCACGTCAATGTATCGTAAATGATGAATGAGAAGACCGAATATCCAATGCCTGTTGGAGATCTCTCTGTTTTCTTTAGTCATCTTGCATAATAGAATATACATGTTTAGTCGTTTATATGTATTCTTTTACTTTAATATTTTTTTTACATTTACTTGAAAAAAAAAAAAAAAAAAAAAAAAAAATTAAAAAAAAAAGAATAAAAAAAATTGGAATAAAATTACGTGAATTTTTGTCATGGAATGTTATTATATTGTAAAATAAAAGAATGGATTTTTAACATTTTATTTATTTATTTATTATATTTCTTAATTGCTTTATCATAAGTTAAATAATAACCATAATTTGTCAATTAGGAATGAAATTATAAAATAATCATTATAGAGAATTTTAAAATGCACAAAGAATTTTTTAATAATACAAATACTTTAATATGGAATAGTAATAGATTTTTTAAGTGCGATAAATATATTATCTTGCAAAGATGAAAATAATTCGTACTGTATAATGTGACGTATATGTGACATTTCTGTAGAATTATGCATATTTTAATGACAAGATACGTAAACAATATTTAAAACATCTAATTTACCTTCTACATTTGAATATTTAATTAAGTTGCTTGAACTTTTTGCAGTTAAGTTATTTTTCATTGCCATGAACCTAAGTATTGAAAATTATATGAAAATGTATAATGAAAGTAGCTTTCATCATTAAGATATTTTATATCAATTCTGCAATTAATGTTATAAAATAGATTTAACAAATAGCACAAAAATTAGGAGTATCTATATATTTCAACTTATTAAAATGTAAATTTAATAACAGCATTAATATCACGTGATAATTTAAAATATTAAAATAATTTATCAATCTACTATGATTGTAAATACAATATGATTTTTAATGAGCAAAATTTAATAGACAATTTTTTAATCTTAATTAACGTATGCATGAAAAAATCATAAGTTTTTCGTTTGTATTTTTCGTACAAAACTCTTATATTGTACTACTTATGTCTTTTAGTTGAACATTACATTTGTTGTGTTGAGTTACCATTCCATGTATTATTTTCATCATTGTCATTATCTGTATCTTCAGAATTAAGAGTATGAATATTTCCACTGGACTTCATTTTTGTTGTTCTCTGACTATTGGACCTCCTTTAAGAATAGCAAATTCACTCGTCATTTTCTTTTTTTTTAATTCCAACTTCAGCAAACGTGTGTAAATATGAATACAAACCTATTTCTTAAATTTGCAAATTGTCCGAAATCCACGTTGATATTTCCTAATTGCGCGCTTGCCATGCTTCCTGAGCTTCCAGCGCTTCCTGAACTTCCTGCACTTGCTGAGCTTTCCGTAATTCTGTTTTTGCTATCAGTGCCGGTTTTACCTCCATCTGGTCTGCCTCTAAAGTATCCCATAACATAATTGTATATGCTAATGACTGGAGTAAGAAGCGTCCAAAAGAAAAAAGAAAAGATATTACCACCATCATATTTTTTTACAGTTCTTGGATTTTGCTGAAATATTTTTTTCATTAATAGTTTAACTTATTTATCAAAGTAAATATGTTGAATGACACGAAGTAAGTATCAAAATTTAACTCACAAACTTATTAGTCAAAATTAGAAGGACTGATGAGGGAACTAATTCTAACTCTAAAAGAGTTTTATTGTTATCATCAGAAGTAAAATCCCTTCTTGGAAAAAATGCAGATAGAGAAAATTGTTGAAACGGCAATTCAGAATTCTGAATTACGTATGTTCTTAAATTCTCTAGTGTACTTGTTGCCTCGAAAGTACCGGTTAAAATATTTCCTGCTGGAAATTTAAATTGAATTCTAGCTTTTGTCATGTCGGTGGTTATTGCTGTTCGAGCTCGGGCTGCATCTTCTAAGGCTCTATTTTGTTTTTTAATATTCTTTTCCTAAAATAATTTTCTTAACCTTCATTATTAAGTTTTATAAATTTGTTTAATTTCACTTATTTATATAATTCAATGTTTTATGGTGTAAGAACTAAATAATATTTTTAAGTATTAAAAATGGATTTATTTACCGTAAAAAGAAGATAATATTAATATAGTCGACTATGGGAGACGGTATTTAATACAAAAAAAAAATGTAAAAATGAAAATAACCTAAAAACTAAAATTTCAAAATTTCTATAAAAATAGAGGAATTATAATCATACTGATTTAGCATATATCGTAGCTATACGTATAAAAAGATAATTAAAATAAATATTCCATTCGAGTTTATACGAGATACTATATTTACGAATATCTATGTACCTGGACAATAGCTTCAAATTTTCTTTTGCGTTCTAATTTATCTTCATTAATTTGCCTTAAGATTTTCTCTTTAGCAGCTGCATCGGCAGCTTTTTCTCTTATTCTTTCTTCGTGAGCTTCCTTAACTTGACGATCGTGCTGTTCCTTTCGCCACTTTTGTAGATCTTTACCCATTTTTCGTCTTTCAATTTCGCAATCTCTCTCCTTTCTTTCCTCCTCTTCTACTTTTTTTTTATTTTGCTGTTCAATTAAAAGCTTAGCTCTTTCAACATCTTTATTTTTATCATCACTTTCCTAAAATTAAATATTAGCGTTTCAGTTTTTGACCGCTAAACTTGTAATATTCAATAAGTAAATAAATGCTGAAAAGTTGATTTCTACCTCTTGAACAATGTCCGCTGATGACACTTCATCCGATGTAGATTTTGGATTGTTCGTTACATTATTAACGGTTACATCGCCAGGTGTTTGATCGGATGTCACGGGATCTGTACTTACTGTACCTTGTGCTTTATTATTTGTTTGATTATTACTAGAGGAATGTGCCTTTTGTTCAGCATTTATTAAATTTGTTGTAGATTGTTGATTTATTTTTGCTAATATGGAATCAATCTTTGAAAGCAAATCCGATGGCGACGAAATATTCACAACTATCTCCAATGGTCTACCATTTTCACCAATAAAAAATATTGATGGAACAGGTACTGATTTATCTGAAAATTAAGCAATAATCATGATAAAAAGCAAATTTTCTCGTTAATTGCCGAATGCTGGATCTATTCAATTTTGGAGCTATTGTTTTCATAAATACAAACAAATTTTCATTCTAATTTTTGAAGATTCGAAATATATTTATACCTTATCGATTACAAAAAATATTTTATAATACATACATATTTCAGTGAAGAACGTGAAAGTATTGGTATCACTTTCAACTTTAATAGCAACAAATTTTTCTGATTCCAATCGCGATGATACTTCGGTATTATTCAATGCCTGAATAAACTCTTGTGTAGTATTATCTTTACCTACAAATGCACAAAAATTGTTATACATTATATTGTTAAAAAATTTATTCCTATTTTGAATCCCACTTATAAATCCTCAAATCATTATCAACACTTATGTATGCGTACATAAAGTATATATACACAGACAGAGGCATACTAATGCTAAAGATAATGTGGCTAATCATTGAAAGGGACGTAACCTTAAAATCATGCACAAACCTTCAACGAAAACGACAAAAACGGCTTTGTCGGATTTTGATTTTGCAACAGCAGCTGCTATATCACCATCGAACCACCTCATTTTCCTCCTTATTTCGATATATTTTCTCTTGTTTTTAAAAACCTTTTCAGCTCACTTATTTAAATGACGTAATATTAGTTGATCCTCAAACAGGGAATTTAATATTATGCTGGTTATACTATACCATACTACAAGTTAGTATTTAACTAACTGTGTGCAAATAACTTTATAAGCGTTGGTGTGCGTGCGTACGTGTTAGGTATCCTGAAGTCGGATTCTTCGGTAGTCTGCCATGTCGAATCGTCGATGCAATTAATATGGGGCAAAGTTTTCGTTTGCTAATGCATTCCGAGATCAAGGATAAGCTCTCAATTGATATTATTGAAATTAGAAAAATGTTCTGCTTTATTAATTTAAAGTGTCATATGACCTAAGAAATGGAAATTTAAATGGCGACTATCCGTCGTATGTTAATGCAAATGGCATGTATTTGTAAGTAGACGTTATTTAAAGAGGTCGAAATTTTTTTAGAAGATAATTTGACAATTATTGAATTAGGAACAAAAAAAACTTTTCCACGATTATTGAATTAACACGTACAAAAATTTGTTGGACAGAAGTCTATGAAACTTTTTGCGTAATGCGCAAGCGCGAAATGCAAAATTTATAAAATATTTTGAAAGGACGTAGGGCCTTTAAATTCTATCATAAAAATTATATTTGTAACTTTCGATTTTATGCTTGGACGAAGCATATTAACAATATACTTACTAATAAATACATAATTAGTACAAATAAAATTTATTATTAATATTACTGTCGTTGAAATATTCTGTCAAATGATTTTTTAAACAAATATTTAACTAAAAAAGTTTTTTCCTTCACAAGTTATGATAGAATTTATATTGGCTTTACTTGTGAATTTGCCAACAAGTATTGAATCAAATTTCAGTTTTACTGGTTTTTTTTTTTTTTTTTTTTTTTTTTTTTGTAATAATTATAGAGCTAGGCATTTCGAGAATGGTCATTTAAAATTTTCTTTTAAATTTTTATCCGAGAAAAGTAAAATGAAAATACTTGAATTTAAATTGACATTGAAAAATTTTGTATAAATTATTTGAGATGTTTAAAAAGTGCAACAATTTATATACTTTAAGATCTTAAATGCCATAAATTTAAGATAAATCTTAATTATCCAATCATTCAAAATTATTTTTATATTTTTTTCATGTATTATAGACAACATATTATTGTTAAAATCAAATGTTTAAAAAAAAAAAAACTCAAAAGATATTAAAATACGAAAAAATTATGTTCATTCGATATATAGTAACCATAGTGATGAAAAACTGAAATTTTTTTTTTACATCTTTTTAATATTCTAATAAATGCTGAGCTTCAAAAGTTTTGCATATAGTTATGCATTGAAAATAAAAATTGAAACTTGTATATTTACTAATATTTATATATATATTTTTTCCCTTATGAATTCCCATGATTTATTGATTTTCGAAGAATAAAAAATTAATTTCTGTGAATCGTTGAACGAAATTTAAGGGCTTAGTACACTTAACGCTGTGGCAAAATATGAATTCACAAGTTAAAAAAAAATTTATTCCACATCAGTAAGATGCATCATAAAATTATGCACTTACATTAGTTATCTTTTTTTTTTTTTTTTTTTTTTTTTTTTTTTTTTTTAAATTACTATTGTAATGCATCTATTAGTTCCTACAATGAATAACATAATATTTTAAAATTATATACATAGTTTTTTAAGTATAGATAGCACACTATTTCAATTATAATTAATATAATAGTAATATATTTATGAATGTTTGTATTTTATGATAACTCTCTTCTATAATATTCGTAAACACGAAATAATTAGTCTTTTTGAAGAGTGAATTTGGACAATTTTTCTCACCACATCATGCATAGTGTTGCAACAAGAATACCCAACGTTGTGTTTGGGGTTAGCAGTTTTCATGTGCAATATTTGTGTATTTGAAAGTTTATAATTAATCTAAATATTTACAAGAATAATGTCTCAGCTTATTACTAAAGGTAAGCACTAAAGTCGTAATTTAATTTAAAAATCATCCGTTAAATCACATGTAACATTCGTTAGAAGTTTATATGCAACAGATAATTGTTCTATGGGTTTTATATGCCTTTCGTACGATTAAAGGGCCGTAATTATCGTAAACATACAAGAATCATTAATTACACATTAATGCATTTTTAATGTAATTAATTATAACGAGCAGGCGTTGGAGCGCTCTTTTATTTTATTCTACGTTATACAAATTTAAATTGAAAGCAAAGGCAATTAAATAAGAATTTTTTTAATGCCAGCTTTCTAACCTATATTTCAAATATTTATTTTCTCGTAATATTAATACTTTGTTATTGTTTTAAGTTCAGTTTCGACATTCCAACACGTCATTAAAAGTCTCTTAACAAACTTTTTCATTGTTATAATACAATATGTTGTAATGTATTAGCTATTTTATTGTTAAAACGTATTTCTCTATTACTTTCTTTCAAACAACTGTTAAAGCCATTGTAATATTTATTATATGCGATTATGCTGTATAAATTTCATCTTAATTTTCGTGTTATTAGTACGTATATGTTAACAATGTTTTGTTACTCTCAATCTAATTACTTACCGATGAATATTACTTATGTAAACCGAGACTTTATACCGCATTCGGTGTTATTGTTGATGTAAAGAAAAAAAAATTTCCTCTAATTTATGGAGTAATTAGTGACAATAACTATTAATGCACACGATAAAAATATAATTATAACAAAAATATATTCGAATGGAGAGTGAGAATGTTTAATTATAATACTGCCATTGGATAATGATATGATATAATAATATTAGTGTTAATGTAAGAATGCCTTACTCATCTGCAAAGGTAAAATGTAATTTAAGGTTAGACACTTAGAAATGGAATTTATGCTTAATTGGGTAAATAATGTAGGGGGAGAGGAGGCAGTACATGCACATGCGCCCCTCGCGAATGCATTGGCTCTGGATGCAGCCGTGCATGGGCCTACTCACGCAAATGCACAAATACCAGGGCATTTGACATTAGGATGTATGTAGATGTTGAGTTGTTTCGCTTTATTCCATATTCGTTGTTCCGTACGTGTGGAACGGTGTGGAAACAAAAACGTCGTAATGGCGTAGTGCGTCTGTCCTTGCGTATTTTCCACTCTCGCGATCTAGTTGCTCGTTTCTTTTAAAGTAATTTTTTATATATTTTTTACATGTACTTAGCGTAATTCGTAGTGGGGAACGAGAGTTAGAGTAATGTTGTGTGTTAATGATGGGAAATTGGGAAATTATTGGAGACTTTTAATTCGGAGTCACGAGTGCGTCGCGTCACTGATTCATTCTTAGGGAAATGGGAGTGAACGATACAAATAAAACGTGATAACAAATGCAGCACCTGTTGCTCATAAAACTTCCAACCTTATGAATACGTCTACGACATTCCATAGCTAAATTAGATAATCTAGTACTTTACCACAGAGTATATGTACCAAATTAAAGTCTGCAGTCTGTGATTGTTTTACATGCATTTTGTGATGCAAAAGCGAAGCAAAGATGAAGGTAACCGTGTGTTTTGACCATATAAGAGTTGTTGTGCCTTGTGGGGATGGTAGTCTCCTTGTCAGGGATCTCATGCACGAGGCGATCCTTAGATATAAGAAAGCCACGGGTAAGAACGACAGTACGCTATCGATTACAAGCCTATCGTCTCTGACCGGTGGGGGAATATTGGATCCAGATGATAGATTATGCGACGTTGCGGACGATAGGGAACAAATTGTCGCACATTTTGTTGGCTCAGATGTAATACACGCAGGAGGCGATGGTTCAAGTTCGGTTGGAACAAACAGTCCCGACTTCTTTCATGGAGATAATAAAGAGCATCGT